AACAGTATATATTCTTGGTATTTCAGGAAATTAATACAAAGTTTGGTTATACTTATAGACTGCGTAAATAACACGACTTCTTGAAATTTATGAAGAAATATACAATAATATGTGCACACACACAGATATACATATATATATGAAGTTACTTTAGCTTCAACTTTCTAACACGGCTGCCAACAGTTCCGTAAAAACTAAAATACATGATTATCTCGTAAATTTGTAAATTGTCCCGAGTACGATCGAAGGCTTTACGAAACGTTATATATATGTATATACCATTAACAGTAATATCCATCATATCGAAAACTATTTCGAAAGACAATGGAATTTTTGGAAAAACAAATGTATCCCTGATTTTTTTTATGCATGTTGGTAACTCAATTGAATAATCGTAAAGAAACAATAGCTTAAATTATAAAAGTGTGTTTTTACCCAAGTATTCACTACTAGTGTTATAAAATAACGCTATTGCTAGTACTATCGTTGGTTAGGTTTGCCGTTTATCGCTATGTATTGTCCAGTATTATGATTACTGTACCGTAGTGTGTACTTTGGCTACAAAGTTCACTGTTTTAAAACACTTGAAGTTGAACTGAGAAGACCCATACATTTCCTTATATTCTGGTAATGTCGAATGAGAGTGAAAGCAGTGATGAGAGTGATAGAAATATCCGTTTAAAAGAATCGATTGATCCGAATTTTTTTCCTCTGACGTGTTTAGGATCTGAAGATCAGAAACGGAACAGGAACGTCCAAAATAAAGTTTTTAAATTAAGAAAAGAATTTCCCGCCGTCTGTAGGTTAGCCAGTCTTTTTTTCGTTCATTAGCTATTACAATTTTGCTTTTTAGTTAACGAAGTGAAAATTGTAAGTTACTGATAATTTTGTTACTGCGAGATCTCTTCTCTGGGTTGTAGTTGATTAAGATTTAAACCTGCGATTTTATATAATCTTAGGGCTTTGCATCATATTATTTAGGACAATTGATTGTTATTTAAATTCGTCTAAAAACATTTATTTTAGTTTTAGTTAGGAACAAGGAATTAGTATAGGCATTAGGAGTTTTCTCTCCAAAGTCAGTGATGGATGAGAAAAAAAAAAGATCCAATGATTTAGAAGATAAGTTTAGGAAAAATTCAAAAATGTACAAGTTTAATATGTGTTATTAGTGTTGTGTTTGTTTCTTTCTAATGATAGGCTAGATGTAAACATTTTGAAAATTAAAATTTGAATCACTATGTTAGTACTAAACATGGTTTTAAAAAGGCCTAATTTTACTATAGTTATAACTTTACTAAATTCTTAGTTTTATATTTTATTGTTATCATAAGATCGTGTTCCAGAATGTGTTAGTTACACAAGGCATCTAACAAAAATGTCCCATAACAATAAAACAGTTGATTAATAAGCTTGGATATTATTATTAATGAGATGTTGAGTTAATAATATACTTGAAATAAGAAAATTGAGGATTTTTGTACCTGAACACCTTTACAAAAGAGAATATTACCAGTGCAGTTTTTCAGTAAAACTTCTACATCTTCCTGGCCCAGCGTGGCCAGGTGGTTATGGCACTCAACTCGCAGTCTGCGGGTTCAAATCCCTGTCACACCAAACATGCTCGCCCTTTCAGCCTTGGTGGCATTATAACGTGATGGTCAATCCCACTACTCGTTGGTAAAAAAGTAGCCCAAGGGTTGGCAGTGGGTGGTGATGACTAGCTGCCTTCCCACTAGTCTTACACTACTAAATTAGGGATGGCTAGCACAGATGGCCCTTGTGTAGCTTTGCGTGAAATCCATAACAAACAAACAAACAATCCACATCTTCCTGGCCAAATTTGGAAATACATAGCAAACAATTTGTACAGAAATAATGAACAAGGGATATGAGAATATAGATATTTAGTAAGGGCAGCTAATATGGGTGTTAAACACTTTTATTTAAAACACAAAACAAATAACAGTGTTTTGACCTGCTTGGATCATCTTCTGGTTAAGAATGACTTTGAAAAACTGACCTTATTGATATTGTGGCATGGGGATGACAATAATGATAGGTATGGATATAGAGGGTGGTCATGAACTCTGAGGACATTAAAATATTAAGAACTATGCATGATTTATGTAATATATTTTCCTAATATTAATAAGTGTAACCACATTTATTTGAGGTATACATACAGAAGATATCATAGAGAAGTATCACTTTTGTACAGAAAGAGAACCTAGGTGTCACTTTGAATATAAGCTTGAAGCTTTGAGGTGGTGATAAAGCTAACAAACTAATCAAATTTAGTTAGAGGAAGTGTAACTTCAAAATTAAAAAGGGTACTCTTGGTAAGTATTACTATTTTGTTGAATTATATATTTTTAAAAGTAAGACTAAGAATACAAAGATTAAAGAAACTATTTCAGCCCATCAGGTTTACTCCATTAGTTGTAATTATTATAAATAAAAAAACAATTTAGTTGATATATTTATCCAAATGATGTTAGAAAATTATAAAGGAAACTAACCAGACACTACATTATCAGACCGAATAATTTGTAAGCTTACAATTCCAAAAATGTAGAAGTAATAACTAAGAATTTGTACGTTAATGTGTTTGTTCTTAACTTTTCATCAAATTAGAAACTGTTACGAGCTCCTACGTAGTTGTTAGTCAGGAAATGCATTATTTTAATTGAAGTAGTGAGGTGTACAGGATTTTTAACTTTAGTCTTTGATCACAATCTACAGAGTGAGACAAAGAGCAATTTATAGGATTGAGTTATAGAAGATAGGGTTAAAGACCTTGTGTTAGATATCATTGAAAGAGGTGTTGAAAGAAGATATTTATAGTGTTAAAGATCTT